TAAGTATGTGATATGGGTTTTAGCTTTCTCTGTAGTGGATGGCAAGTGAATTCGATATCCAAATTACCTGCTGGAAATGCTTGTCTGGCCCCCTCTAAATAAAGCCTATATGACTAATTTGGACAAAATCCCTAACTTTTAAAAATAAATGAGATAAATCCCACACTTATTGTCAAGAGTCTTGGTTTGAATTTACAGTACGCAAGAGAGTAGACATAGTAGAAAGAATGAAGAAGGAAGGAATTACTGTTCTTACTATCACTTCATTTATTTAACTTTATCTCCTCTGTGTCATCTCATTAAGGTTTGAGATACTGGCGTGCTGCAAGCCCAGACTATCTATAAGAAAAGCCTTTTAAAGCATTTTATGTTCTGTGATTTGCCACACATATTATAAAACAACCCCTAAAAACATAAGCAATATGTGTAATCTGCAGTTGAGAATGAGTAAGACAGAAGTAAACAATTAGGTTTTATTTAATTTTCCATCTCGGAAAAAAATGAGCCAAAGAACTGCTTTTGTCTCCTGTGAACTAGAAGAATTCACAAAGTCTTTAATAAACTACATATAACTTCCCTTTCTGGTTGTCCTCACACACACAACTGTTCCTGTAATTATAAGCTGCTTTACTTCATGACATTATGCTTGATGTATGAGTAAAATAAATTTTCAAAATAAATTAGATGCATGTAAGGACTGAATTAGCTGATAATAAAAAAAAAATTGACTTGTCTGTAAGTGATTTGGGCAACTGATGTTGAGACAAGCAAACTAACCCTGCTCTCTCTTATCACAGGAATTATTTGCTCAGCACTCTAACCCACTGAAATTGATGGTTTGAGTTCAAGATTTTATATTGTCTATGGTAGCCACAGGTTGCCATAGTTGTTTAATACTATGTGCAATGTAAATATTATATTTATGTTCTTCCTAACAATGTTACAGTGACTTACATCTGTAGTATCTTTGCTGAAGTCATTCATCTTTCAAAAATCAAGTCAGGATTTGTCTTCTGTGTTGTTAAATTTATGCCAAATTTACCTGACATGAGTAAATTAGTATCAGTGTAGTTACTGCAGTACATAGAATTAACACATTTATATAGAATTATATTATGAAAATACATACTGAACTAAAGAAACATGCTCTCTAACAAGAGCAGACAGTGATTAGGCCTTTGGAAATAAGACACAAGAAGTGAACCTATATGTTGGCTATATTGAAAAGTTTGGCATTACCTTTATAGGTAAGCATAATTTCATTATCAAATTGGAGATGCACATGAGAGAGAGACCCAGGAGCAGGGCACATAGAGGCTTGCAAGACCATTCGAATGTGCAAATGGTTAGGACATGGAAAGTTAAGAGGTGAAGGGAGATCTGTGCAGGATTGATACAAGGATGATCAGCTACTGATTTGTTTTTAATTTTTCTTTTTATGAACTAAGTATTACAACAGGAGTGTATATGGGCTGGAAAACCTCTTTGTGTTTGCATTCCTACAGTCGTGTTTACCATGCAAAATTAACTCATTTGAAGGCTAGTTCATTTTTTAAAAATAGTTTTATATAGAAAAGTTTGATGTTTTCTGAATTAAATATGTACAGGATTAGGATGCACTGAATAAGCATTTTTATTGTGCCTTGCTTTTCCCTCTTCTAATGACATTTCTTGAGGTGACTTGAAAATGACTGTCTCAGGTGGTTTCTGATTGTTATTTTCAGACATCTTGGTATCTTTTCTCTGAATGTGTTGGATATTTCATATTTTGATCTCTCACAGGCATGTGGAGGCACATAAAGGTGTGCTAAAATAATTTTGTAGCTCATCTGCAAATAGTGTTAAGGCTTTCAGATATGTTGTTTAAGTGGTGGTTCTTTCAGATGTTCAGTCAATAAGACAACTCAAAAGATGGAAGCCTATAAATCTGCTTCTGTTCCTCCCTATGCACCAGCACAGGTCTTCATCACTGAACAAATGCATCTCACGAAACTGGCAGAAATCTAACCCAGAAAGCTGAAAGTGAATAGGTTTCCACTCTCTTTAGCTTTAGCAGCTACCTAAGAAGTCAGACAAGCATGAGAGGTATTGCAGAGATGCCCAGAGGGAGAATGACACTGCCCAGCTGGAGAGTATTGCTTGGATAAAGGGCGACAGGGCCACTTTCCAGCAACAGTGGTTCTTATACAGGATCCATGATCTCATCTGCTGTGGAGAGTTTTCTGTGACCTTTGTAAAGACTTCCTAATACATTTTAGTGCTGTTAAGAAGTCTGAATCTTGTTTGCAGAATTCACTGAAGAATGCTTCAAATAATCAGAATTAGATTATAGTTTTTACTCCAATTAAAAATATAATTCACAGGGAAAGGTACCCAGAAAATAGGGCAGTAAGGATGTCTGAGAGGTCATGAAGTCCATCCTCATGTCTAAAGCAGGACCAGAACAGATGGAATTTGTTTTTCTTCTCATCCACAGTTCATCTAATGCATCCATTTTTCCCTACTTTTACTTCTCCCCTGTTTCATGTAGACACAACTTCAATCAACTGATCTTTTTCCTTGTACTCTTATTCTGCCATTCCTCACTCTCCAAACTTAGTCACACAGGCATGGTATTTGACTTAAAGCACGAACATTTCTTGCTGATCTTTTCATGAACCCTTTCTCTCTACCCTTTTCCCCCCTATGCTGTTTATGTATCACTGCTCCGTGCTCAGCTTACGACCGAGAATGGAAGGTTTCTTGGTTGCCACACCTGAAGTGCAGTCTGGGCATCTATTTCTGCTCAGCCAGACATCTGAAACCAGACTCATAATAGATGGCAGCGGAAGTGCGATTATAAAGCATATTTGATAGTTCTGAGAAATAGATGCTAACTCAGTATAATTAATAGTGCTGGTAGCATTAAAAATGCATGCCATGAAATGCCTAAGTTGTCTGTAACATCATTTGAGTCTTGAGATGAAGTCAGCTCCAAATGATACAGCTAACTACTTTGAGAGGCCAGTGTTATTCTGTATTCATTATTAAGAACTGTACAGCAAATGCCATCAGGTTTACGGCTCAGTCATTCCAGACTCTGAGCAAATACGTGATTCTTGCCTTTTCTGACTGAATTTACTTCTTCTTTTGATCTAGCAATATGTAGATCTTTACATAGTGTTGTGCTTTATAATATCAAAGAAAGCAGACTATTTTTCAAAAGCTCTGCCTTTCTTTTTAGTTGTTCATTGCTTCTTTGAAAGACTTCTCATTACATGAATTAGTTTTTAAAAATGAAGCTGCCTGACCATATGTGTCACAGCACAACAGTGCCTGCTCCTGTCCCCAAAGAAAAGTGATTTTTTTCCCCGAACTTGAACAGGAAAGGGAACTTAATTTTTAACTGTAGCCAATTTTCTGCTATTGCTGTAATCCACTGTCTGTCTATGAATGTGGAACAATAGAAAAGATATCCATGGAAGGATTGTTTTATGTATTTATGATCTTTTAACACTGACATAATTTATGTTTAGTTATACAGATAGATTTATAGAGATGTATAGAAACTCTTTTAGGTTTTATAAAACCTGCCTAATGTAGTCTAAAATGTTTTATAACCAAAGACAAGGTTTTTGGAGGGGTGATTACAAAATTGTAGTTTGATTTAAGGACATTCATCTTTTACATTGCCAGTTTACCTCTTGATCTGTAAGGATTTTTTAAATGTAGCATTACAAGACACAGCAGATTTTCACAGGCAGCTCAGATTCTATTGCAAAATGTTGGGATTTCTCCATCCTTTACCATTGCTGTCAGAGGTTTTTAAAATAAGAAGATTCAGCCATCTGTAAAGATTGTATTAGGAAAACTGTGTTTGTTTCCCTTGTGTTACAAGATTCCTGCAGTCATTTTCCAGATCTCTGGCATCTCTAGGATTTGGAGCAAGACTCTAAACTTGAATGGAAAGTGAACCTGGTAGCAGTCTTGTACTACTACTTTTTTTCCCAGGAGTTTACTTACAGTTGTCTATGTTGTTAGTTCAGTCTTGGCCCATGTTGAGCTGTGTTGTCTGAAAATTTTATCTGTATGGAGAATGCACTATCTTCTCAAAATGCCATTCTGTACCTAGAATGCAAATTTCTTGTTTCACTGAAAAAATGCAGTTGCAGCCTGGATTTACTGAGCAGAATTTTCCTGTAGCGTTCCACCTTTGCTTCTAGTCTTTTGCCTTTACAGGCAACTAAGAGCAATCTTGTATAGTTGAAGGAGATAAAGGAGATGCAAATGCAGCAGAAGTGGACAGAGCCTGTAACCTTTACAACACCATCAGCAAATGAAGGATAAAGATAAAAAAAAATTGTTTTCAAGCCTGTTTGACATTTATTCACCTTTGAGTGCTTGAATTTTCGAACTTAAATTATTTTAGATTATTTTGGAGGAGAGAGAGTTAGCATACACATATATCTAGGTGTGAAAGGAAGGACAGAAATACGTTCTGGGAACAATGTAATTCTCAGCTGTGATCTCCAACATTGGATTTGCTTTGTCTGATGCAATAAAGATTTTTTCCAAATGAATAAAACAAGTGGAGTTGATTAGGTTATAAGAGAAGAAACACTTAATGTTTGGATAGTTGTTTTGCATCTGAACCTGTTTAATGAGATTTTTTTGACTGCTGTGAAATAAATTGGTCTCACTGCCTTCCAAAAGGGCATATCTTCAATTCATTATTATCTCCATCAAATAATAGATGATGTCAGTGAAGAAGGCAGAAGGTAGTTTTAAAAGAACATAGTTTAAATTACTTTTGTTCTCAGAGGGCAGGAATGAAGCAGGAGTCATTGAAGGAAGGCCAGCACTTCTGTTACCCACACTGGTCTAGTTTTGTTTAACACATATAAAACTTGATTTTGCAGGGCTCAGTTATTTAGCCTTTGCATTTTGAATGGAGAAGGTGTGATGTAAATTCATCTTCAGTTTTCCTACTAATTAAAAAGTGATTCATCTCAAACTCTTTTTCAGAGGAAGGAAACAAAGGTTATGGACCTGTTTTTGAGGAGCAACCCATTGATACCATCTACCCAGAAGAATCTTCAGATGGTCAAGTTTCAATGAACTGCAGGGCTCGCGCAATTCCTTTTCCTACTTACAGGTAACTTCTTGTTTTGGTTTCAAGGTCTTGCATATTTTACTGAGTGACTGTTTCAGGTTGTGATATTGAATGATTGACTGTCTTAACAAGGCAATACAAAGTCTTCAAGGCAGGAAAAAATGGGTAGATTTGCAATTTTTGAGAAAGAATCAATCTTGATTCCATCTGTCGAAATGTCTAGACAGTGTTGATAATACTACATTCCTGTTGTGTTAAATGTTTTCATCTCTTGTAAGGAATACTGATCCAGATGCAAAACAAAAAAAAGTTACCTTCAAAAATTATTAAGAGGTATTAAGAGGCTATCTTTCTAGCTTAAGTTGGGAATGACTAAGGTTCAAGTCCTTGTTCTTGATTCACAACAGCTTTTTAATCCTATTTTATTCTGAAAGAAGGACTGGCTGTTTAACCTGGATATTCTACACCCTGTGTTGCCTTTGTGTGCACCATATTGTAGAGAGATGCTCATGAATATATCAGACTTGCTACTGAAGACATGAAAAGCTTTCTTGGAAAATGTTTCAACAAGTTTTATCAGAGATTCACACATCTAACCTCCTTCACAGTAATTATGTTGTTATTAGCAGAGCAGTTCTGTTTTATTGTTGGAACTTGGGTCATCCGATTAGTTTATTATCTACATATTAAGTACAAAGAAATGTATTTCAGACTTTTTTATTAAGACCACGAGTAATTTACAACCTAGTCTTGGACAGAAAACTACTGTCATTATATTAAGGGCAGATGCCATTTCTTGCCGCCAAAGGGATCCATTTCATTAAATTATCCTATGATTGATCCTATGATCTGCTCCTGATACTTACGTGTCTTCCTAAACTTTAGCTTCTAAGACAATAAAAGCAGTTAAGTCTGCTGGCCTTTCTTTTAAATCTGTTACAATATTGTGATGAATCTTCCATCAGAACAGCTTAGCTAGTCTTTAGTACCTTTTTAAAATATGCTTAAAGGTTGTCTATGTATACAGAACCACTTGTGATTGAAGGATTTGGGGGGAAACTAGAATACACCTTTTGAGTATGATCTCTGTCTCTAGTACCTTTGCAAGTTTTTCTACATGGCATTTTGCTGTTGCGCTTGTTTGCTCTCCCCGTGCTTGTAAAGGACTGAAAGTGTGGAGAGATCAGATACACTTAGATTCAGCACTCGTCTGGTATATTTACCCATCACTTTCAGTCTGTCCCAACACTCCCCCACTCTGTCTGCAAGAATATGTAAACATACCAGATAAGGAATAATTACAGGCCCTATGTAAAATTTAGGGTTTTTTAAATCTGTCATGGGCTCTGCAAAATCTTATCTGATGAAGTCACTCTGGAAGAATTGACTTGCACTCCCAGAGGTCTTCTATCTAGGAACAGATCTGACAATTATTGCTGATAGCTGATGTGATAATTGCAATACAGGATAAGGGCACTTACCTTATTTCCTGACATCAATATTTTAGTCTACCTCAATACATTGTCTTAATTTCTTAGACCTCCAATACTTCATGAGCCAAAATTCTGTTTCAGAGGTAGCTAAGTCCTTCCTGCCACTTCTGTTTTTTCTGACCATTCACCTTCTTAGGTTTTTTTTGGAAGTTCTTTATTTTCACTGCTTGTTAAGCATTCATCCACTCTGCCTTCTGTATCTGATGGTTCTTCACCCTAGTCAAAGTTCAGATACTCATTGGAGTTTCTGGGAATCTTTTTTCCCCTTTCTCATTGGAACCTTCAACACTGCTTTCATGGGGACAAGATATGTCCTTTAGTCTCCAGTCCTGTTTGCAAGTCATGGGCCACAGATTACTGTGCTGTTTCTCCTGAAGTGACCTTGCAAATATACACTGGCGATTATCAGTGACCTTCTCCTGTAGCCCTCCTGCCATCTTTAGTGATTTCATAGGTCTCTCGGTGGTTCTAGCATTTCTAATTTTTCTTGATACAGCTTCTCTTTCTGTAGGCTCCCTTCAGAAACAACCTTTTAGATTGTTCCTTACTCATCTGTAGTTATCTTTAACTACATATTCCTGCAGTTTTACATCTCAGATGGAAGAAAATCTGTGTTGTGAAAAGAGGAGATAAATGCCTAACTACAGATTTTACTAATGCATCTTCCCAAGCCACTATGCAGTTGATAGGAAAAAGACACAGAGATTTTTTCCCAGCTTTTTGCATTTTCATGCATGAGAAACACTATGCATGTGAGAAGTTCAGCTGAATGTGGTGAGAACTACTCATGGGAATGAAGCTACTCACAAACACAGGTTTGTGGAATGGAGGAACTGCCATTTAAGAGGCAAGGTTTGAGCAAGAAGATCACATGACCGCTTGATGTGCACACACTTCAATATGCTTGTGCACACACTTCAGTATCCTTGTTAAGGTTAATTTTTTATGCTGCAGAGGAAACCAGTTTTACAAATGAATATAAATAGCACTGTACTCAGAGAAAAAAAAATGGAGATGTATCATACAAATAGGATTGTGTTTTAGTTTTTAATTTAATAAATTCAGAAGAAAACTATTTCAATGTGTTTTTTTTTAATTCTTACTCCTCAGTTGCACATTTTGTGCAATGTTTTTTTGATCTTTTTAATTGCAGCATAAGCTGTCCTTGTTACAGTTGTTTCTAGGTATTTCTGAACAGAGAATTTATTATTCGTAATACACTTGTAATGTATCTCATAGGACCAAAGCGATACCTCTAAAATTCTGTAAAGGCTAAGTGATATTTACTGCATCTTGAAAATCCTGCCATTTCATTATTTATTTCTATCTTTAACTTAGTTTTTGTTAATACCCTTCTATTACTGTTTCTTTCTATGACAATTGCAATTTCAGTTTGCAAATGAGTATTCTGTGTATTTCTGTACAACATTTCATTAAGGAAGGAAAAGATAGGGTATGTGCTCTCATTTTCAAACACTAATGCCTTTCTTTGCCTTGTGACAAAAACCAATTTACACAGCAAGAATTTGATGATCTTTAAATGTTTTAAGTTTCATCTTTCCTATTTGGGCTTAGGAAATGTTAGATTTCTTTCAAAGAAGTTTATGGGCTCCCCCTTGTGGACACAATAATAGATATAAATCGTGAATAGATTACCACTGCTTGTGCTGTGACTTTATTGAAGTCAGTAGAAGTCAGTAAAGGCCACACCTGGTCCACCGAGTTCCTCTTGTAGTCCCCGCAGTGAAAGTTACAGCAACTCCGTGAACTGGCTGTGGGATTTTACAGTAATTAGGTGGGAGCGTCCACTAATTATTTTAATGTAGTAAGTAGATATTTAATCAGGCGTGCCACTGTTTTTGCACAGACTTCACTGGCACTTTAGACTTTTCTAAACATTTTCACCCCCTACAGCAGGTTTGCTAAAACCTCTTAAGAATGTCATTAGTCCATACTTCAAAGGTGCAGAGGGAGTATTTTCTCAGCCAGTTTGTCCTTAGATAACTATTTGAGGACATGTTTATAATCCCAGTACTTGGTCACTAGCTAGTTCACTCATAGCTGGCTCAGATATCCTGTGCTAGATGGTCAGAAATCACGTTTTAACCTTCGTCACATCTTCAGAAGGCTGAAGCAGAGTGAGACTGTTATGTTTAAAAGACCTATGAAGTTTGTCAAATCTGTGGCTCTTGCTGCAGAAAAAATTAAAATGTATATAGAAGTATATTAATAACTTCCTGTGTATAGTTTATCACAATTATGAGTTATTTTTCAAATCGTATTTCTTACTAGGTTTATTTTTCTGGGCCAAATCTTACATCTGGCTTTTCTTTTTTAATAGGTGGAAACTCAACAACTGGGATATTGATTTAACAAAGGAGCGCTACAGTATGGTGGGAGGCAGACTTGTTATCAATAATCCAGAGAAATCAAGGGATGCTGGAAAATATGTCTGTGTAGTGTCGAATATCTTTGGAACTGTCAGAAGCAGTGAAGCCACTCTGAGTTTTGGATGTAAGCCGATGTTTACGTCAAAACGTAGAAACGTTACGGTTAGCTTGAAATGCCCAACGTTTTACACTGCAGTGTCTCCTGCTAACATGTACTGTAGTTCTGTTGCTCTGTAAAAACAATCTTAAGTGCCTTAGTCTGCAGAGATCAATAAAAAATAAGTTCTGTAAGCGTTTTATATTCTTAGCATTCAGCTGACATGACAACCTTTGCCTTTGCAGTGAATTATTATTAAATTATTAATTGAAGAGCCTTGTGGAGCCAGATTCTGAGAAAATAATGGCCAGACTCTTTTTATATCATGGTAGGACCTGAGGGGAAATAGTCACAGCAGAAAGACGCAAATGGGGGCATATGGTGATGAGGCACTGCTGCCATGCAAATGCAACCAAGATGTCTGCAGGAGGAAGGCATCACACTCACTAGTAAAGTGTGCTCCCTGACTCCAAGACTACAGTGAAGACCCTGCTGGGGGGCATTTCTATCAGCTCCTGGCAGTCATGACCAAGCCTTGTGAATGCATGCATATGCACAGACCTGCACTGTCAGCAAATATGTGTATTGTAAAGAACTACATGAAGAGTAGTGTAAAATTTACCCAACTGAAGACAGAGTATGGGATTTTTATTTTATTTTGCCTTAAAGTGCATTTTGCCCTGGATATATTTTTTCATCAGAGGACAAAAAAAGGAATCCACAAAAAAAGGAATCTACTCTTACCTGGTGACCATTCACAAAGCCCCATGTGTCCTTCAATCCTGACATTAAGTGCTTAGTGCCCCTCCTGTCTTTCAGCAGCCTTCGTGAGCCGAATTCACGCCTCACTGTGTAAGATCAGAGATGAAGTGAAAAGTTCTGTTTTCTGCTAATGATTATAATACCGCACAACCACATATCTCAACAAAACTTAAGAGGCTGTAAAGAGCTAATGGACTGCATAATAGTTCATCTAGTCTTAGTCTGTATTTTACCCAGTGTATTTGCTAGGAGTAAAAGGCCAGGTTGTTATTTCCTTATACCTAAAGCAGGCATCAATGATGCCAGCCATAAGCAACCAGTAGGATAAAAGCTATGACAGTAGCTGTAGCTACTTAAAATGAAACAAATGCATGTAACAGATGAAAAAAAAATAGAATCCAACCAGTCTGTGGCATGTTTTCTGTCTATCAGCTCACAGATTGCATGAGCTGAGCATTGACAGCTAGCATACTGGACAATCATACTGAACAGAACCCTAATATGTAATATTTAAGTATTTAAATGAAAATAGGGTAAATAGAGAGGAATAGAAGTGAAAGGATATCTGGAAACTAATAAATACTTGCTAGAAAAATGGTACTGTCATTCTTCTTTGCACTGTTTTGTTTGCTCCCCTCTCCCTTTTATGATCACCTATAAAAAACATTTCCATCCACAAATCACTGTTTCTAAAAAATTGAGTATAGACTTGCTAAAATTAATATAGAAAATTTCTGATCTTTAGCTTGTGCATAAACTGATTGAAAACTGGCAACAACCATTTAGAAGAGTTTAAAAAAATCTTGATCAGCAAGCGAGACCTTTTATTTCTGTCTTACTGTCAAATTTACTGAAATTATTGAAAAAACGCCACACTGTCTCATAAAATTAATCTCAATTAATCCATCTGTCTTTAGTAGAACTGGATCTTTTTAGATGCAATGCCTTAAAATTCATTAAAATATTTTTTAGCTGTTACAGACATACTCCTGAGCGAAGGAATTTTATCTTGCAGGAATATTTAGTGGCTTTCTGGTGTGTGCTAAGCAAAATCAGAAGCTGATAGGTTGTTCTATTTGCTGGGAAACAGTGTCAGAATAGTAAAACACAGCAATTTCATACCAGAGAGGCTGTAAGAATTACAAGGAAGAGAAGTTTCCATACTCAGTAGATATTAGCTGTATACTTATAGGAGTGCAGTGATTATGCCGATTCTTTCACTCGAGCTGTAAATCAATGTCTGCCAATTATGAGTTCATGGAATCACGCTTATTATAATTATTGAGTAATAACCAAGTAGTGCTTATGCAAAGAAGACATCAGGACCTAATCAGAGTACAGAGCATTCCCTAGGTGGGTAGAGAGTGTACAACTACATCTCAATAATTGTATGACTTCCCTGCACCTGGCATAGACCATTCTATTTCAGTACTAACATAACGTTTTACATGTACAAATTGCTTGTCCTATCCCATGTCTTTAAATTTGCGGTGACAGACCTAGAGTTTCAAAGATCATTCAAGAACACTATAAACAAAATGTCCAGACTTAAAATGTAAACTGGAAATAACTAAAATAACCTAAAAGCAATAAGTTTTCTTTTCACCAAACCCTACATTGCCCAAATGCAAAGCAGTAACAAATGAACAACAGGTTTGTTCCAAGAATTGTAATTTTTGAGAGGTTTTTTTTGTTTCAGTAACAGATTTTAAACATTGATCTGTTCCAATGAAGGCAGAAATGAATAATAGTGGCAAGTTTAAATGATGATCAAGAGGTCTGCAACAAGGTTTTTTTTTTGTTTTCAGGAGAGATCAGTCAGTATTTTGAAAATAGAAAGTAGCTGTGTAATTAGGACCATGGTGAAAAACTGGAATGGGAGTAACTGCAATATCTCCTGCAGATATAATATAAATAGAGATATTCCAATCTATGTGAAGAGCTTCCTCAACTTCAATTACAAAACCTGTCTGGTCAAATAGCTAATTCTTATTAAGTCAGTCTGGTATACTTAATTTCTTTTTTGTCAGATAATAATATTCCAAATAAATTAGTTGTGGAGAACTGAATACATTCATTGCACTAAGGCACAGGCTAAAGTTATATTAAATAATAATCAGAAGTCTTCAGAATGGCCCATTACAGTACCTACCATGTACGATCTGATGAAAAGATCCAGTAAGTCACTGGAAAGATCTATATTATCGTCTGGTCTGCAAGAAGGATGAGTATTGCAGAAGTTGGGAGAGATACCTTTGCTTAGACACTGACGTAACCCTTCTAGAGGTTTTTTCCCATGCTTTTGACAAAGTGTAATGACATTTTATTTCTAGATTGTTGTAGTGATTAAGGTCTGACAGCTGTGGTTGGGCTAGAAGGAGTCTTTTACCTGTACCGTGTTTAGTAAATATAGAAGTTGTTACAAAGTTAGGGAATTAATTCTTTTTAGATAATGCAGAAGGTCTATTGGATCTAACTATACGTTGCATTTTACAGTAGTGAATAGTCTCTGTTTTCTACTTAATTTCTTTTTGTATGTAGCTCTGTCCTGATTTTTTCTTTACAGTTTCTGGCTGGCTGCTCTTCAACCCTTGCGTTTTAGGTCTCAGAGATCTCAGAGCCAGCCTTGGGAATTTAGTAGAACTGGGTAGCTGCCTGCCATTGAAGAAAGCTGAAGTAGTCTGAAGGACATAGTGGTTTTGATGGTAGAATATTGCGTTCAGAGGCTGTGCACTTGGCCATTGCTGATGCACTGTTTACAGCACAGTAGCATTTAGAGCAGAACTCCAGTGAGGATCTCTGCAGACTCACTGTTCTTGGTGAGATGGAGAAGATTCCCAAGAGACATTCCCTGCCTCAAGATGGTTGTAGTTTAATTCCAGACTGAATACACAAAATGAGAGTCAGAAGAATATGCAAAATGCAATTATTGACCTAGTTGAAGTTACTCATGCAACTGTTGTCTTATCACTGCAGATACCATTACTGTTCTCCCACAGACTGTAGGATATGTACATGAAGGACTTATTTCTTTCTCTATTTACAACAGTCTCTACTCTGCTGCATGGAAGTTGAATTAAAGAGGGTCAGCTAAGTTTTCTCCTGGGATTTTAGACACTTCTGTTCCAAACTTGGCACAAAAGATGTGTCTGAGCGAACTGCTTACCAGTCCTTGGCTGGAGTTGTTGGGGAGGATAGCCAGGTCATTTTAGAGAAGCCACTTTAAGTTAAAGTAAAGAATTAAACTTGCATTTTGGAGAAGTCAGTTTTAGAAACAACAGAAAATCCTTTTCCTTTTTCTTCCTGGGATTCCCTCTTCAAATGTAACTCACCTGGCTACTCTTAGGCAACAATCTGCACCACTTTATTTTTTTTTCCCTGTGGCATTTACAGTTATGATATCTGAAATATTGTAAAAAAATTCATTGCATTTGATAATGAAATGAGCAAAACTGACATTATGGGTCCACAAGTGTCTGCCATATATTGTTGTATTTCTATGTTAATCTCTACAGGGCTGAAAATAATAATTTAAAAAGTATTGTAGTGAAAAAAAAAACAGTTTTCCTAATTGACTCCTTTTTGAACTAGATCTGGATCCGTTTCCACCTGAGGAACGCTATGAGGTTAAAGTGCGAGAAGGTGTTGGAGCAGTGCTTCTTTGTGAGCCCCCTTACCACTACCCAGGTAATTCAGCTTTAAGTGTTTCATTTTCAGCTGCTTAAGAGTAGGAGATAAATTAATGTTTATATTAAAAAGTTTCCTTTAAGTTTACTTAAACAATAACTTATGCAGCTTGAGAAACGCTGTTTAGGTTAGGTTTCCATTTTGAATATATGCTTGTAGTTGACCATATGCGAAGAATATTGTTGAATTTGCAAATAGGTTTTGATACTACAAATAAAATTAGACTTGTCTGGATGATGGAGAGAGGAGACCTAGCCTACCATTCAGAAGACCTGAGTCCATGTCACTGTGTCATCCCAGACTTTCTGCTGGTCTTGGACAGGGCCCAGCTTCATTCCACCTAATGTAGTGACCTCAACAGAAATGATCGTGGGCTTCTGTTAAAATCATGGAACAGCAGTAGGCACCCCCAGAGAGTCAGAGATGAGGTGATTCATACTCTGAAAGTGCCTTGTTTTCATCATTAGCTACTGAAGAGCTCTGCAGAGATTATGCCTGTAACGTCAAGCACCTGCAGTTTCAACATGAGGGGTGAATTTGGCTGTTAGCATCACTTTTACCTTGTAAAATGGGATAATGTTTTACTTTTCATACTCTGTGTATAAGTATTGCAAGGAACTGAAGAACTGAGACATATTTCTAGTTAAAATATACTAAGGTTTTGTCTAAATTGCAAGACTGGTGAGGGCTTCCCAGCTTTTCAGTTGTGTGAGGTCAAGACACAGCTGCCCATCTCCTCTCATCCACTCCGGTTCCTGTGGGAAAGCTGTTCCCAAGGAGAGCCCTGCACACTGTAGCTGGTTCCCCAGGAGTCTGCAGTCATGGCAGCAGTACCCTTATGTTCAGTGCAGACAGTTATTAGCTGGCTGCTGAGATGTGCATATTCTCTCTTACATAGCTGCCTGTCCCGAAGAAAAGATCTATAATCTGGAAATTAGAGTAATCTATATGCAGATAGTATTCCATGGTTTAAGTAGCTGATAGAATTGGTTTTTAATATTGACTAGAAAATATTTTCCTCCAGATGATCTGAGTTATCGCTGGCTTCTAAATGAGTTCCCAGTATTCATTGCTTTGGACAAACGTCGATTTGTGTCACAGACGAATGGCAACCTCTACATTGCAAATGTAGAAGCATCAGATAAAGGCAATTATTCCTGCTTTGTGTCCAGCCCTTCAATAACCAAGAGTGTATTCAGTAAATTTATTCCACTTATTCCACAGTCCGATCGTAAGTATTTATTGGAAATACTATGTACATGCAGTGTTCTAACTGTATTTTAATTTTGCTCATTTGTAACTGCTTTCAGCTCTTTGAGGAGAGTTACATGGCAAGTTATAATGCCTACTGCACAGTCTTATTTAGTTTTTCAGATACAGATGTCCAAATCACTCCCATCCACAATGAAAACTCTGTGAAGGAAATCTCCCTGGATTCATTCACAGATTTCCTTTCATATAATCGAAAACAGTTCTCCTGTCCAGAGTCCCCATCTCTTTTATGTGATAAGCCCCTGTACTCATCCCAAAATCTTTAATGTATTTTTCTGGTTCAAAGGGATATGACTGCAAAGCAGAAACTTTATGTTAAAGTTGATAAACAGATTCAGGAATTAATTTTTTTCCCAGGAAATCTTTTTCCTCTTTTGAAATTTCCTATCCATCAGTGGCCCAAGGGCTTTGTGTTTCATGGCCAATTCCCCAAGACACCTATGTGGCTTTGTGTCACTAGATTATTCTCTGCAATTTCTTCATGAAAACAGCATGTTTTCCCAATGGTAACCAAGTTCTCTTTTGTTGCTTCAGACTGTCAGTCACTAGAGTGTCATAAAATGATTATTGGGATATCACTGTCCATTTTATCTGTTAAATTTCCCATATTACATTGAAGAACTGTGATTGAATTTGGGTAACTACAATTCAGTGATCTCTGTCCAAATTTTCCTTGGCCAATACTCACACTGAGATCTTAATCTAGAACTGCAAGAGGAGTCCTACAGGGATCACCAGTAGGTAGATTTGATTACATTTGCATCTCTGTGCCCTCATTAAGCTGTAGATTTGCTGGCTCTATCTTCTTCATACCCTTACTAAGATAATATTGAGCTTAAATCCACAATAATTCAAAATATCCCATCCCATAAAATAATCTATGGAAAACAGAGACTCAGGCTTTTGTCTACCCACATCAACAGTACGTCTTCATACTTCAAAGGCAAGTAAATGAGTTTATGTTAAAGCATTGTGCTGTAAAAAAACATAAGGCATTACTGTCCAGAGAAATATAACTAGTTGCTGAATAAAACAATTCTGCCTTACTTTTAAAAGTTCAGTGTTAAATCAAAGTTCATGGATGACCAGGCTATTTATTCAGTGTAAAGAAGAATTTTGTCTGGAATTTTAAAAACAGTTTCTTGAAATGTGGAAGTTTAATACTGTATTCGTTTCATCTGTGGCTTTTCTGAGAATCTCTTTTTTCATGTTAGGTGCAAAAGTATATCCTGCTGATATCAAGGTGAAGTTCAAGGACACATATGCTCTCCTGGGGCAAAATGTGACACTGGAGTGTTTTGCTCTTGGGAAGTAAGTGTGTTTTAAAATTATTGTAGAGCAGTGTTTGTTTTCATATTTCAGGGAAGGAAAATACATATTTCATCATCAAACACTTTTTTGTAGTCTGCAATTTAACAGCCAGTTCTTGAACATGCTGATTTGTACTTTACTGTACTTTTCAAGTCCGGTTCCTGAACTCAGATGGAGTAAATACCTTGAACCCATGCCTGCCACTGCTGAGATAAGCATGTCTGGTGCAGTTCTTAAGATCTTCAATATTCAGTATGAAGACGAAGGACTTTATGAGTGTGAAGCTGAAAACTATAAAGGAAAAGATAAACATCAAGCGAGAGTTTATGTACAAGGTATGTGGAACAATTCTATTTTTCACAATCTGTGTTTCTGTTCTTATGTTGGAAGTTTCTGTCTTCTCACACTTGATGTCCCTGCTGACTCACTACTGTCCTCTGATGCAGATCATCCTGACACACTGCTATTCAAGTCAATAGAGGAAAATGAAAACTCATTCACCAAATGCCAGGCATAACATTTGTGTATTAATTGAACAGCTACTCAGTTTATCTGTTTATGATAACTGTATATACACCTTGACAGCAGTGTCTGTTAGTATTAATATAAGTTTGCATAATGAAAATTAAATACATTCAGTGTACTTGAAAGTACAGCCAGGAAGAAAAGGAGACCATTAGATTTGTTATACCTTCTTGTTTCCTCTTTTCGTTTGTCTTTTCTAACTGTTGTAGCTCTCATTAGCTTTATTCCTTCAGTCTCTGACCCTTCCCCTCACACATTTAGTTAAATGAGAGAACCGAAAAATTTTATCTTATTGCTTATAGTGGAATCATCCCAAGTAACCTGACTCCCTGACTGAAACTTACGCCACAAAACCGTGACATGAAAAGATCATACGTAACATCTGAATTACATTAAGATGATTTTCTTTCACTAACTGGACAGAACATTTCCTGAGTTAAAATTCTCAGTTAAGTGCTTGAACTTAAGTGAGATAAATTCATTATTGGTGTGGGAACATTGTTACTGGTTGTTATAGGTAAAGCTAATAAATAGATTCATTTGCTTAGTAAAAGCTGGGAAATTTTCAATATTAATTTCTTAAATATATTCTCTGGACCAAGAGAATAATTTTCTTGGAGACTCTTTCAGTACATAGATGATTGTGCACAATTTCATGTGATTTAACTATGATTTTTATGGCATACTTTAATAATTTCCACAGATCAGTGTAAGAAGTAACATCTTACAGCTTTGGACATTCATGAAGCATTATTTCAATTCTGTATTGTCTTCTCATAAAAATAGTTTGAAGTTATTCTGAGTCTATGTGCTAACATAAAAACATCGTCACTTCATTCTTTCTTATGCTGGTGTGTTGCTGAGTTGCCATAATTACTTTGAGTGGCTTCTGAAGTATCATGGAAGAAGCAGTGGAATTAATAGATTGTAATGCTCCTTAAATATGTATCTGCTATATTTACAAGGCATTACATTTTTTATTCTTCAGCCTCTCCTGAGTGGGTAGAACATATCAATGACACAGAGAAAGATATAGGCAGTGACCTATACTGGCCTTGTGTAGCTACAGGCAAGCCTATCCCAACAATCAGATGGTTGAAGAATGGTGTCTCGGTAAGTATATTGCCATAGTTAATGCAGGATTGATTGGATCATTGATGGAAATTATTTTTTTTAAGAATGCATTATTAAAAGGTTAAAAAAAAATTAATCATTATACAAATATTTGCTGATCTCACTCAAAATCTGCTTTAAAAAGTTTTGTCTCCATCTTCTCTTCAGTATTGATATGCATTCCTTCACACTATGTAATACTCAGCTCTGAGTTATGAACTTGCCTTTTTGCCACCTTTCTGGGAGGTGCATATCCCTTTTTCTCCAGGCCTTTATAAGTAAATGCTATGTTCTTCTCCCTGGATAAAAAATACCTATCAACTTATCTCTAAAAATAATCCTTTTACCACATTAAACATGAGTGTGTCTAAAAATGTAAGAGAAAATGGAATCAGTAGAGACAAGAGAAGAAAGTATAGTTTTTAAATGATCAGTGGTGTTCCTATATCTTGTACTTTTTTGTGTTTTTTCTAGCCACAGAATAGTGTAAAATTCCATCACTTTAGGTAATGTGAAGTTTTAAATGAGTACCATTTAATAATTTAAGTTTGTTGCACTGGATATTTTGTTTAAATGAAGTAGATTTTCTGTTCAGACATTTCAGCAACATATTTAATATCCATTGCTTATACTGTATGATGAGCCATTAAAGAACAAAGAGAATAGAAGAAGGCACAATGTATCACTGCATCTGTTGAGCTGTGGTGACACTGATCTGGGCAAGCAAATGAAAAAAGGCAATGAGACAGCGTTGTTTTGGCTGCGTATCTTAAGAAAAATCTGGGAAGTTGGAACAAGAACAGGACTATCACCACCTGCCGTATGGAGATGGCTAAAACCAGAAAAAACAATGCCGTTTTCTAGCTTCTCTCGTTATTACAGACAAGTAATTTAGCAAGCAAATCGCTTGACGGTGCCCACTGAACTTGACTTTCACTGACAAAATCTGCATACTGGACTGCAGAAAGCAATGTGTAATTCTCCAGTAGTACACTAGAAAATTATGCTGTGTGTTAATATAACAAGATGATTTCCAAGTGGAAAGCAGCAAGAAATATTTAAATTGCTTTGAGAATACAGCTTGTTTCTAAATCAGATAATTTTTAATTAGGTATTTTACTTAGCACAAAACAGAGATTCTTTGTAGAAAATCTGAGTTAAATGTTTTTAAATTAAACAGTACAGGAAATACATTTCCTTTAACCTGTTCTTTTTTTTTCAGATAAATAGTACTCTTTTAATCTTCCACTGCTCCATGAACACTTGTCTTACATACAACTTCTAAAGCTTTTCAGCTTGATTTTCACAAGAAAACATAATTTATTAGCATGATCTTTCTAAACAGATTGACATCTTTTTTTAATTTACAAAATACCCCACTGCACTTCACCTATTTTTATACACAGTTTTTTTGAAATAGATTAAGTACTTTATTTTGATTTACTGTATTTGCTTTTCACATTAAAACAAAGTAATAGAAAATTGTTTATAGTAACTCACAATGTTCTGAAAAACTCCTACCTCACTGGGACTTGCTTTGACCTTTTACTGTTGTAAAACAATGTACATAAAATAGAACATACTGAACAGTGAGCGTGGCAAAAGAAAGCTTATGTGCATAAAATTAATTTCGTTTCTTGTTTCTTATTTCCAAATCAGTAGCGTTTGCATTGGTATGGTAACAGTGGACTGAAGAGTAGATGTGTTTAGCACCACTATGGCTTTTCCAGAAAAATATTGATTGACACTGAATCTTTCTGTAACAAAGAAGGTGAACACACTGTCACAAAGACTGAAATGTGACATGGATAAAAAAAAAATCTCACTGGTACTGAACGTGGTATATGGAACTGTCTTCTGAAAACTGTCACTAAAAATTAAAGTTGAAGTGTGAATGGCTGTGAATTCTTCAGCATACATAGTCTATATGAATGTCCTCTTGTTTTATTGATTCTGTGTTTTAGTTCCGTAAAGGTGAACTAAGAATACAAAGCCTGACCTTTGACGATGCCGGCATGTACCAATGTATAGCAGAAAACACGCATGGAATTATTTACGCAAATGCTGAACTGAAGATTGTGGGTCAGTGGGATTATTTGTTCTATTTACTATTTGAGTTTTGAGTAAGATAGCAGTCATTTTTAGCAGTATCACCTAGAGCAGTCTACTCAGGGGAGTTGGACTAAACGATCTTTCGAGGTTCCTTCCAACTCCTAACATATTGTGATTCTGTGATTTGCAAGCGTTGTTTGGTAACAGATTCCTGTGAGGATAAAACTGAGAATCTTCTCTCAATCTGGGTCAGGTGTGGTTTGTTTGAGCTCCCTAGCTCGGTTTTGGCTACGACTTGAGGAATCAAGTTACTAATTATGGAGAATGTATCACTGTTATATGGGCAGTGTACGTATTGCTGTACTATTTCTGATGTTTGCTCCTTGCTGTTACCTCTCAGATGAACTTGTAGTGCAGAAATTATATGAAGTGCGTAGAGCTGCCGTCTACCCTCTCAAGCTTGCAAAACCGATTGAGAAGTGTTTCTTGTTTGCTCAAATATGCGCTCTCTGTGTGGAAAAATCTGCTTTTTTAGAAACCATGTTGTCAGTCACCAGGTCTTTGAGGCTCTTCCTCTTACCTTGCCCCTTTGTTTTTGCCTTCTATAACCCATTAAGACCAGCTGCAATGTTTGTGGCCAATACAGCTGCTCCATTTGATAGCTGGATGTAGTTATTAATCCATTGTGTTTTCCTAAGGAGCTTCCTGTTGAAAGTTGGACTTTCAGATCCAGAGTGTTCAGGCTTAAAACAATTTGTGATGTTTTTGCTGATGCCAGAGCAGGCATACTGGCAATATGACATGGCTTTCCTAGAAGATTTCCCTGCAGTAGTTGCCCTGCATTCTTTCTTGCCTCCAGACTTTGCAAGAGCTGAACAATTCTTGACTTCCTCAACTCATTTCACAGTACCTTGTCCCTCACTGTACTTAGTACCAGCTTGGATTACCCAGAAAGGAGCACTTTTTGCATGCACCTTTTCAAAATTCAGTGTTGGTAAGATGTGGATGTTTATCAGACTTTTTCTCTGTACTGCTGCAATTAACTAATAGCACTTTTTCCTCAAGCTGTACACATGGTTGCTGACATGATTAACAGTGGGGATAGGCCAACATGCAAAATAATTAAAAGCGTTTTTCTTTTATTTGGATACTAATAAAGAGCCAATTCCTAAGCAAAGGTCTGACCTCAGATGCGAAAGTGTGGTGCTTGCTACAGTCATGTCTCATTACTCTTGTGCATCTGAGAGTGCACCTAAGGCCAATCGGCCAAACAGAAAACTACAAAGAGGAAGAAGGATATAACTTTAAAGTTGCTGGAGGGTGGTTAAAACCACTGAAAAGTAAATCCAAGTGTTCTTTGAAAGTATGATTGAGTGAGCAACTTTTAACATAAATTGGTCTCCATGAATCTAAATTTTATTAGGACTGATCAAAAGGCCTTTGAAAGGGAGGAACTTTCTATTGATTTCAGTGGACTTTGATCTTGTTAGATTAAACTTAGATGGAAGTTCAGAAATAAACAGAAAGAAACCTCTAGTGTAACACAGCATAGGAATACATAATGATTTTTCCTGTTTCTTTTAGTTCATCGTCTACTTCTCAGCACATCTCTGTTTCAGTAGTATTTTTCTCACTGGTCTGAATAATGAACATTTGTACGCAATTCAATAATTGTGTCATTTACTTTGTGTTGCAAACCAATTGTATTTTGCAGAAAAATCACTAACAGCCATACTCATGTTAATTTGTGCTTTCAGCTTCACCTCCTACTTTTGAGCTGAACCCTATGAAAAAGAAAATCCTAGCAGCTAAAGGGGGCCGTGTAATCATTGAATGCAAGCCTAAAGCTGCTCCTAAGCCAAAATTCTCCTGGAGCAAAGGAACAGAATTGCTTGTCAATGGGAGTCGGTTAGTATTGACTGTTAGTGGACACTGTGAGTCTTCAAAATGCTGCCTTATGTTTCTATTTATCCTGTAGGCTACTTCTCACTTTGCATACTTCAGGGACAGGAGAATGTGTATTATCAGGAAAACAATATGCCAGAATGTTACTAACAGTGTGGATCCAGAGAGCTAGCAGGATATCCAACCAGTCTGTTTGGTGCTATTCACAATTCAGAATTGAATTGCATCAAAAAACTGTTAGAAAAATATTTGAATGACTACAAGTGAATGAAAGTACAGTCTCTTGCTCCAGCAATGTGTCCCGATTTGACACAATTAGTTCTGCTTAGCTCAAACCAAGACACAATGTGAGGCATCGAACCATGCCACAGTCTATTTAAATACTTTTTACCATAGTATGTTTATAAATGCAGTAGTTACATGTGAGTTTCTAAGTGTCTGTGGTTTGTTCTTTCACTTACTACAATTCTACTGAAAATATTGCTTTCTAATATAAAACCTAATATCTCTTGATGTATTTTTTGCACTTTCAATAGCATACGTATCTGGGATGATGGGAGCCTGGAAATTATCAATATCACAAAGCTGGATGAAGGTCGCTACACCTGTTTTGCAGAAAATAACCGAGGAAAAGCTAATAGCACTGGTGTTCTAGAAATGACAGGTAAACTTCTAAATTGCATTAGTTTGTTTCAGGTAGAATCCTCTTAATTCAAAATCACTAATTTTTTTCCAGCTTTGTACTGCTTTTGCAAGCCATCCTATATAATTTCTTTCTAATTTAATTGCTCATTAAACAATGAATTGATGCTTTTAAAGCATATTGCTCAGTAGAAACCAGCTGTGTTTGCACCAGTTCTGAGACTGTATCTGAGTTTTCAGGATTGATTTTTCCATAACATATTATTAAATCTGATCCATTAAATTGACACATTTTAATGCATTCATTCAATTTGGTAGCTTCGCGCTCAGGCTAAGGTGTGATTCTGAGGCTGTGACTCAAACATAGAAACGGGGCTCTTACTGACCTTCCGTAGGTTTTTTTGATATTTTCTTTGGTTTTGGTTTTAGTTGGTTTTTTTTTTCTGGTGGGTTAAGCAAGCTTGAGAGAGCATAGCAGTGAAAGAAACATGCATTAAATTTGTGAGGTAGGGACATATAGCTGTGTGATTACACTACTAAATTCCCTTCTGTTATGGGTGTTAGTATCGTGTGTTTTAAATCTGATGTCAAATAAATAAATAAATAGCTGTAGAATGCAGACAGGAAAGATGACAGTCATGAACAGCTATGTCTATCAACTATCACTGATAGTACAAGAGTCATTTATCAAATACAGTTTTAACGTGTGTTCCAGAAGTCATGCTGGAAGTGACAGCTCAGTGTCACAATATTGATGTACTAATGTGAGAATTAATCTGTATCACCAGATCATATGAAAGCATTTTTCTGGCCGATTTATCCCAAGTTTATTGTATCAAATGAATTGTAAGACTTTATTTTGATTAATCAGATTTGTTTAATGGTTGAAGTTACTTTTTATCATCTTTTGCAATTTTAGATGTCTTAATATTACACTCAGGCATTTTTTTGAGAAGTTATGCAAATAAATATCCAGCCCATTAATAGTTTTATCATACCTTCTAAACTCAGGAAGAACATTTGCATACTAAATTTGCACAATGAAACACTTAAACCATATGTTTATAAACCTTATAAACTAGGTATAGAGAATTTTAAAATTTCAGAGAATTCTGGTCTGATTCATCTAAAAAGGGAAACCAAAAGACTAAGACATTTTGCTTGCATCACAGCAGAAATAGAAGGGTCATATGACATACTTCAGAATTATTTTCACATTGTGGACAATGATTTGATGAAGAATGCTTTGAAAATGGTATTCCCAAGCACATTGTGTGGTCCATAAAGCTTCTCAGACATTGTGCATGACTACAGGAAATTAAAAAGTTAAATGTGAAGCTTACAGGCACTGCAAAGTCTGGTGGTTTTTCCCACACTCTGTTTGTTCACTGTCACTGGACCACTCTTTCTGCAGCTTCTGGGACTGGTAGAGTCTTTTATGTAAACATTTAGAAAATCACTGATGGTAGAACCAAATGCTGAATATACAGGCCCAGCACTAGAATGGAGCAGGTGCCCTAAGCATGTGACCATAGCTAGGACTTCAGTGGTCAGATGTTAACAGGATGCTCCGATTCACTATGGGATGCTCCTTTTTGTAAAACCCAGTTGTTGTGCCTTCCTCATAGAGTCGGTATTAGGGAGGTTTTAGATTACTAGAGTAGGGTCTGCGGAGCGATTCCTCTCCAAGGCAGATGGACATGAAATGTTTGCTTTATTGAGGACTTTTTGCTGTTCTGTGTATGGTGGGGTGTAGTGTGCTCCTTGGAGCATGCTCGAACCTAGGTCTTAACTAACAGCAGTAGCTCTTTTCTTAGGGCTATTTTCTTCCACATTTTGGAACCCACTTCTACTCTCATATTGGTGGGAAAGATATTATAGGTCATGGCATAAGGAAGATACTCTGTGGCTTTTTGTTTTTTGATAATAATTGAAAGAAAAGGAACAGGCCTCGGTGATCTAGTGATTCACTTCCAGAACAGTGTTGCTAATTTGCCATATGAATTTGCTGTATGTACCAAGAATTCTAGCAAGTATCTATTCTATTCTCTGCCTTGCTGGGGGATTTACAGCTTTCTTCCTTTTGTTGTATTATTTTCTCTTCCTTTCCACATGTAGCTATTTGTGTAGTTTGCTATACATCCATTCTGTTGTTTCTCGGTAGATAAATTAAGATCTCAGTCCATGCAATGCTCTAATGGAAATCTGACTCAGTCTGACAACTGAGTAGAACTTTACATTTGTTAAAGACACAGGTTTTAAAACATAAGAAATATTATAATTAAAACAAGAAATGCAACACAAGTCACATAACATTCATCATGTGTCTTCTTTCTACCTGAGATATAGTCACTGAATAAAAATAGCTCTAAATAGTCAGTAATGTGATTCAGAGACTGAAACAGCCATTTTCAAAGGACAGCTTAATAGAAGTTAGGCATTCGGTTGTAAAGAGTTTCCTTTGTTCTCTTCTCTTTGGTCCTTTGAAATGTAGCTGCATTAATAACATATAAACTAGGGTTTGAGGGAGCGGTTTAATGTATAATCAAACAGTTATGAAGCTGAGCTTACATTTCTATAACCATTTATTTATTGGAATTTTCCATGTTTGCTGTTAACTTCACAGAGGCTACAAGGATTACTTTAGCTCCGTTGAATGTTGATGTCACCGTTGGAGAGAATGCTACCATGCAATGCATTGCATCCCATGATCCCACATTAGACCTGACATTTATTTGGTCTCTAAATGGCTTTGTAATAGATTTTGAGAAAGAGCACGAACATTATGAAAGGAATGTTATGGTAAGATACTGTAGATCCTTATTTAATTCGTGAAAGCCTAGTTTTCTTTATTGTCAATAGCTGTCTTTTCTGTTTTACTTTTTCTATTGTTTTGGTTCTGGTCTAGAAAGATACAGTAGGCTAAGAACATAAAAATACAATTTAGACACCTTGCAGATATGTGGACACTTGCAGGTAGATACCTGAAATCATATATCTAAATTGATGTAAGTATTTCGGTATCTCAGTTAAACCCAGCTCTGATTAATAGTGAATATATCTACTAAGAAGGTAGCCTGTTCATAAACTGAGTGCAAATTATCTAGCTTGAAAAAAGTGTGCATATGCTTTCACTTTTACTTACCCATGTTTTTCTCATCAACATTTCTGGAATTTGGCACAAGACTGGGCCAGATGGTGGGTAGGAGTCAAACAGTCTGTAAACACTGAGCAAGAAGAGTTTGTGTGAAAGCTAAACAAGTTAATACAAAGACACTCGTTTTGGCATATAGAAAGAGGAATCATAGATCTTTCATATTTGCGTGTATGGTTATCTTTTTGCAGTCTTTTATCAGTCTTATTCAAAATTAATACCTGAATTAGAAATCCCTTTTTGTTACGTCTAATCACATGCTGATTTACTTAATATTCAGCAATAACCTCAAAGCAGTTTCCCACATGTGTATATATTTATTCTGTTCTTCTGGGTTTAAATGATACAAAAATCCTCAAAATTAGATACCTTTTTTCTGTGCTACCAAGAGAAACTGTGGATATGGAGATAAAACGTTTTTAATGGTACCTGTAGTGTCCGGGAAAGCCAGGGGCTATGTTCAGCTTCATTCCCATGTTCAAAATGATGGGCCATGTAACAGTACCTTCTGCAGTGTCTTTCTGCTAGGCTGGCAATATTATTTGGTTTTGCATGGACCAAGAGATACTTTTTCTCACTTTCTTTTTCAATATCTTTGTCTCTATGTGAGAAGATGTTTCAGGCATAACTCTTTTAGTCTGATTTGGAACAAACCAATCCTCTGAGGAGTCAGAGTTGTCTCAGCCTGCTTAGCTGAGTTGTAGATGTCCCTAAGAAGTCACACTGCTCTCTGTTAGTGAGAGAACAAATCCTTGTCTACTATCTAACAGAAGTATGCTAAGATCAACTGAAAAACCTTGAAACCCAGAGACATAAAGTCTTTTCTGCAATAAACCTCTGAAAGTCTATGTTCAAACTCAGCAGCAGGCACTAAACAGTTTGCATTGCATTTTAAGTTGCCTCAGGAATTGCAAAATATGTAGGTCTTCACTGATACACGAGCATGATTTAAAACATTTCCTACATGTCACATTAAGTCATATTTTGGATAGGTTTATATTTACACTTTGGTACTAATCAGTGCATAGAAGTACTTTGAAAAAGCTTCAATTACCTCCTAAAGGCATTAGTTTGTCGTTAGATAAAGGCTGGAATGAGGCTGAGTGTCAGTCAAAATAACAGCTTAAAGAGTAAAGCCCTATTGAATGTGTTCCTTGTAAAAGAGCAAATAAAACCACTGGTTTTGTCCAATTTTATTTAGTAGATTGCTTTTAGCTGCCTGACAGAAGTCACACAAACAAATTATATTTCAAGAAACAGAAAATCAGTCTGAAAGTGCTAATGAATCAGTGATTTTTGATGTGGAAGGAAGATAAAAATTCCTTTACCAGAGGACTTTGAAATGCAAGACCATGTAATGCAAGAGAAAGGAACCTGAACTTTCTCCATCTGTTAGTCTGTAATGAACAAAAGTTTTTATAATGTTGACATGCACTTCTGATTTTTCATCTTTGTAATAAAAGTAGAACAAAATTGTTGTTTGTTTTTTTTCTTTTGTGGAAGTTAATTCTGAAATTTAACCCCAATTTTAGGGCACTGTCTAGCAAAGCACTCCAAGTGTACAAAGCTGGGGCCTCAGCAACTGTGTAACTTGTAATTCTCTGTGAAGACTAACTTAATATTTAGGTTCCCAGCCACCTGTTTTATCTTCCAGATAGCCAGTGGTCCTGGATCTCCTGATCCTCGATTCTGATTAACTCCACAGTATTTTAGACACTCTATTGAAGTGCTTGATTTTAAAAACAAATTAACCTAGCCCTGCTAGGTTAGCTTGATCTCTACAGACTTTCTGTGGTCTGCAGAGAGAGAGAAAGAGATGGTTTGCTTCACGTGGGTGTTGAACCTTTTGCTGGAGATTTCTTCTTTGGCAGATCATAGAGATGGATACTCCATAGGATGCAGAAGTAGCTGAAGAGTGACTAACTCTTGGTTCATTTAACAGTTAAAGTAGATTAGATCCAAACACCAATTAATTTATTTGTCAGTATGTAACTCCATCGTCCTGAAGGATATTTCTTGGTTTGTTGTGTTGCTTTTGCTCTTGACCAATACTGGTAGAAATCATTTAAGCAGGGGCAGCTTCTTTTTTTTACTCCTAAGCCTTATTTCTGGGATTTCCAATGCAAAGCAAGTGCAGAAAATCTCCGTTGCTCTTCCACAGGCAGCTGAGTCTTCCTCACTCAGGACAGAGGGGACAGTAGGGTTGTGTTTTGCAGTCTGGAGTTGCAATTTGTAGTCATTTGGCGATTCAGCACTTAAGTAATAACATATGCAGAATTTTTAGCAAATTCAACGAATCCAATACAAAGTTTTATCTAGGACATAATTAAGAGAAATATGCATTTTCAGTATTTCTGTTTCATTCGTTTATTGTCTTATCCTTACATTAAGGGTTTTTTTCTTTCCCGTGCTAGCAAAGGGATTTTCTCCTTCCTAGGGCTTCCGTCTCTCTGGCAGTTCTCAACTGCAGTCACTGGGTGGCAGGTTTGCTCAGGCTTTCTCGGATGTGCAGGGATGAGCTGATGTGCATTAGGCACCAGCAGCCCTGACTGCCGGGCTTGAAGCAGTGGAGTCCCATGCTGCCACTCAGCCCTTCATAACCATAAAAGAAAAAATATTCCATCATGAATATTAAAATTACAGAATATGTCATGCATGCTCTCAGTGCTGTAATTTCCTGTTGATGAAGGATCTTCATCTGTCTTCCTGATATTATCACTGTTAATTTATGTGACAATGCAGATCAGCACGCTGAAACTTGATACAGCCACGGTATTTCAGTTCTCAAATTAATACTAATATTTTTGTCACATACACATAATGGAAAGCTAATGAAATTCATGTAAATACCTGCATAAGTCTTCTTCCTTTAAATGGAAGCTTTGGTATCTCCATCATTTGCTGAAGGCAAAACTAATTTACATTGCATTAGTAGTAAAACTCATTTATCAAAGGAACATTTGTCAGTGCTGTTTTGATTTCCTGTGACAGTGATATTTAAAATTATATATATGTATTTATTGGTTAGCATTCAAAGAGTCAAATGGGGTCTTCAAAAATCTCACTGTTAAATTGATTGCTTTTGACTTTATGTATGGTTGTTTCTCTGATTATTTGATTATTTGATATTATGATTGAGGAACTAAACATTAACACTTCCTTCTAAGTCCCATAAAGATATAGCACTTCAAGTAATCTGAAAAACTCTAATGTTTCATCCTTTGTTCTTTATGGATCTGCTTTTTGTCATGTATATTTAAAGACTGAAAAGCTTATTTTTATATATATATT